TGTAATTTGCGGGCCGTTTTCAACATGTGGCTTTCGCTTTATCTGCGCGCGAATTTGTTTAAAGTTTACAACAGTTTGACGGATGGAGGGTGGGCCGTTTTCAGACTGTGGCTCTCGTTTGAGCGCCGCGCACATTTGTCTTAAAAGCTTGCCAGAGCGTCACGGATGGAGGGCGGTTCCTTTCCAAAATGTGGCTCTCGCTTTATCACCGCCCACATCCGTCTTGACAGTTTACACTACTATAGTTTTAAGGGTTCTTCTGGTTGATGTCCCAGAAATGGTGTATCGGCCCAACTTATGATTGTCAGGGCGCGACAGTCACGTTGATTCGCGGTGTTGACGTCCCCGAAACGATGTTCTGGTACGATTTTCGGATCGTCAGGTCGCAACAGTCACGTTCATTCGCGGCGGTGAACTCCCAGGAATGGTGCTTTGGCACGGTTGACGATTTTCAGACGGTCATTTTCCAACGGGGCCCTTCCCTTTAAGGAGGGTCTATTCAAGTGGCATGCGCCATTTCGCCGACCCCCAGAAGAGACAACAGTAATGCACGACCGCGGAAATCATTCGGAGCACAGGGGCATTAATACATTGTGTCGCATCTCGGTTCTCTTGGGGCCTTGCCGGCTTTCTCCGGACCCTCGGAGCTGGGCGGTCTACTCTGGAAGGTTCTGTTGCGTCGCCCGTTTTTCGAACAGGATTCGGGGCTCCAGGAGAGTAGGAAAGACAGGGCGGGAAGGGAGGACGCAGAAGGCACAAAAAGGAAGAACGAACCAGAAGAGCGATGATGATAGCGAACGACCAGGAGTGGGGATGCAGGGGTGTGTGCAGGAGGGGGCTCAAGATCAAAATTTATTCCAGTGCGACCCTACCTAGGAGTTGGAGCTTTTCGGAAAGCAACATCTACATCTGCACCGACAGCTACATTTACATCTATACCTGTATCTACATCTACATCAACATCAACAGCGAGACTCACATCTACATCTACATCTACACCTACATCTACACCAACATCTACATCTACATCTACACCTACATCCACATCTACACCTCTATGCTATGCTATGCTATGCTATGCCATGCTATGCTGAGCTATGCTATGCTATGGTATGCTATGGTAATGCTATGCTATGCTATGCTGTGCTGTGCTGTGCTAATGCTGCGCTGCGCTATGCTGCGCTAAGCTAAGCTAAGGTAAAATAAGCTATGCTAAGTTAAGCTAAGCTAAACTAGGCTAGGCTAAGCTAAGCTGAGCTAAGCTAAGCTAAGCCAAGCTAAGCTAAGCTAAGCTAAGCTAAGCTAAGCCAAGCTAAGCTAAGCTAAGCTAAGCTACGCTAAACTAAGCTAGGCTAGGCAAAGCTAAGCTAAGCTAAGCTAAGCTAAGCTGGGTGAACCCAGGGGGCGTAACTGGGGGAACCGCGGGGCGGATGCGGGGGGAACCGCCCGGGGCGGTTCCCACTGCCCGGCCTCTTTAAGCATACACAGTAAGAACCCTTCTAGGCAGAGCCTAGGTAGGGAATGAAGCTAAGCTAAGCTAAGATGAACTAAGCTAAGCTAAGATGAGATAAGCAACGCTAAGCTAAGGGAACGTCACTGGGGGAAGCAACATTAGTAGGGGGAACCGGATGCCGGGGGACTGCCGGGGGAACATTCGTAGGGGGAACCAACCCCGGGGCAGATGCCGGGGGAACCTCCCGGGGCGAGGAACACTGCCCGGCCCTTTAAGCTTATAAGGTAAGAACCCTTCTAGGCAGAGCCTAGGTAGGGAATAAACGGAGGAGGAGGAGGGGGAGGAGGAGGGGGAGGAGGAGGAGGAGAGAGGGAGTCGTGCGGTAAGGACGGAAGTAGGAGGGATAGCAAGGACGATGAGGAGAATACGAAGGGCGATGATGATGATGATGATGATGATGATGATGATGATGATGATGATGATGATGATGATGGTGATGATGAGGATGAGGATGAGGATGAGGATGAGGATGAGGATGAGGATGAGGATGAGAATGAGGAGGAGGAGGACGACGAGGAGGATGAGGAGGAGGAGACCACGCGAAGAGAAGCGTAATTCATGGAAGGGGAAGCCCGATGATGCTGCTGCTGCTGCTGATGATGATGATGATGGTGATCGATGGTGATGATGCTGATGATGATGATGATGATCATGATGAAACTGATGATGCTGCTGATGATGATGCTGATGATGATAATGATGACAATGATGCTGATGATGATGGTGGTGATGATGATAATGTTGATGCTGCTGCTGCTCTTGCTGCTGCTGACGATGATGGTGGTGGTGCTTATGCTGATGAATATGATGAATATGATGAATCGGATGATGATGATGCTGATGATGATGCTGATGATGATCACGATGATGATGATGATGATGATGATGATGATGATGATGATGATGATGATGATGATGATGATGATGCTGCTGCTGCTGCTGCTGCTGATGCTGATGCTGATGCTGCTGCTGCTGATGATGATGATGATGATAATGATGACGCTGCTGATGATGATGATGATGATGATGAGGATGATGCTGATGATGATGGTGGTGATTGCTGATGGTGACGATGATGACGACGGCGACGACGACGACGACGATGATGATGATGCTGCTGCTGCTGCTGCTAATGATGATGATGCTGCTGATGAGGATGATGATGCTGATGTTATGTTGGTGGTGCTGTTGGCTATGTTGCTTCTGCTAATGATGGTGATGATGCTGATGCTGATTATGATGATGCTGATGCTGCTGATGATGATGCTGCTGCTGATGCTGATGATGATGATTACGATGATGATGCTGCTGATGATGACGGTGGTGGTGGTGGTGATGGTGATGCTGATGATGATGATGATGATGATGATGATTATGATGATGATGATGAGGATGATGCTGATGCTTCTGCTGATGGTGATGATGATGATGAGGATGATGCTGATGATGATCACGATGATGATGATGATGATGATGATGATGATGATGATGATGATGATGATGATGATGGTTATGGTGATGATGATGATGACGATGCTGATGATGATACTGCTGATGCTGATGATGATGCTGATGCCGATGCTGCTGATGATGATGATGATGATGTTGATGATGATGATAATGAAGATGATGATGATGATGATGATGATGATGATGATGATGATGATGATGATGATGATGATGATGATGATGATGATGATGATGATGATGATGATGATGATGATGATGATGATGATGATGATGATGATGATGATGATGATGATGATGATGATGATGATGTGATGCTGTTGATGATGATGATGATGATGATGATGATGATGATGATGATGATGATGATGATGTTGATGGATGAATGATGTGATGATGATGATGATGATGATGATGATGATGATGATGATGGATGGTGATGATGATGATGATGATGATGCGTTGATGGATGATATGCTTGATGTGATGATGATGACATTGATGATGCTTGCTGCTGCTGCTGTGCTGCTGCTGATGATGATGATAATGCTGCTGATGACGATGTGCTTGCTGCTGTGATGATGATGATTCCTGATGATCCTGATGCTGCTGCTGCTGCTGCTGATGAGGAGGAGGAGGAGGAAGGAGGGAGTAGGAGGAGGAGGAGAAGGGGAAAAGAAGAGGGAGGAGCAGGATGAGGGGAGAGGAGAGCAGGAGGCGGATGCCGGAGAGGAGGAGAGAGGAGGAGGAGGAGGAGAGGAGGAGGAGGATGAGAGGAGGCTGAGGAGAGGAGAGGGCTGGGGGGAGGAGATAGAGGAGGAGGAGAGGAGGAGGAGGAGGAGGAGGAGGAGGAGGAGAGGAGGGAGGAGGAGGAGGAGGACAGGAGGCTTAGGCGAGAGAGGCGGGAGGAGGTAGGAGGAGGAGGAGGAGGAGGAGGAGGAGGATTAGGAGGAGGGGGAGGAGGAGGATTATGATCGAGGCCAGCACCATTAAAGAGCGAGAGCTCGCGACGATCGTGGTATTCGTGGGCTGACTGTGGCCCAACGCGCTACGTGCTGGGGCTGCGGGTCAGAAGCCTTCTGAAGGCATATGCGAGTCTCAATGGATGTCTCTGAGGGTCCTGGTGGGGAGCTGTTGGGGTCATCCGGAATGCTTTTTGAGTGCATCTTGGGGCTTGTGGGGGGCTTCTGGGAGGCCTGACGGAGCCTCTGTGGAGCCTCGTGGGGGCGTCTCGGAGGCCCTTGGGGAGCTCTTGGGGGCATCTTGGAAGTCGTATTCCACCTCTTGGTTCCCTTTTGTTGGGGCCCTCTTGGGCCGTTCAGGGGGCCCTCGTGGGCTGTCTTGGGGCGGTCTTGGGGGCCTTCGGGGCCGTCTTAGGGGCGACTCTGTGGGGCCCTTGAGCCGTTGTGCACGTTGGGAAGATGAAAGAAACGAATTTGACAAACATGTGCGTGTTCCGACGGGAATGGAACGATGTTTGCCTTTGGGGGCCTTCTCGGCGGTCCTCTGGGAGCTTTCTTGGGCTGTCCGAATCGCCTCGGGAACCGCCTGCAAACTATATTACTGGACCGTCGAGGTTTCTCTTGGACTGCCTTGTAGCTCTTTTCGGCCGTCCTGGGGCGTTCTGGCTTGGGAAGAAGCGCCAGGGAGCTCGTCGACCCCCCCCATCGCGGGGCCCCCCCACCCCCTCTAATGCGGTTTCTAGCCCCAGGGGGGAGGGGAAGGGGGAGGGAGACAGCCAATTATCTCACACGCCTTTTCACCCCTGGAAAATGGGGGTCGGCGGATTGCCACATCGTTGATGAGGCTTGGATTTCCAATGGTCCTCCTCCTCCACCTCCTCCTTCCTTCCTTCTTCTCCTCCTCCTCCTCCTTCCTTCTTCTCCTCCTCCTCCTCCTCCTCTCCTCCGCCTCCTCCCGCCCGTTCTCCGCTTGGCCAGTCCCCCCCCCCCCCCTTCCCCCCCCCCCTAGTCGGAGCGGCCGCCCCTCGCCCCGTCCTCCCCTCCCCCCCCTCCCGCAGTTCACGTCGTCCTCGTCCAAGCCGCCGAAGGAGCTGCCCACAGGAGCGGATCGCCCCTCGCCGCGGCCGAATCCGCTAGGACCCCTACCGAGGCAAGCTTTGATGGGAGAAGAATGATAATGCTACTGGTAATGTTACTACTGACAGTATTCGCATTCATATGATGCATACGATGAATACTAAGCATAACAATAATAACAACTATAATATAAAGATGAGGACGATGATGATGAGGAGGAGGAGGAGGACGAGGAGGACGAGGAGGACGAGGAGAACGAGGAGGACGAGGAGGCCGAGGAGGCCGAGGAGGACGAGGAGGACCAGGAGGAGGACGACGAGGAGGAGGAGAAGGAGGAGGAGGAGGAGGAGGAGGAGGAGGAGGAGATGATGATGATGATGATCAGGAGGAGGAGGAGGAGGAGCATGAGGAGGAGGAGGAGGAGGAGAGGAGGGAGAGGAGGAGGAGGAGGAGGAGAGGAAGGAGGAGGAGGAGGAGGAGGAGGAGGCAGGAGAGAAAGAGGAGAAGGAGGGAGGAGGAGGAGGAGGAGGAGGAGGGAGGAGGAGGAGGAGGAGGAGGGGGAGGAGGAGGAGGAGGAGGAGGAGGAAGAGGAGGAGTGGGAAGGAGGTGTCAGTTTGCACGGGGCTGCGGGAGGACCGACGGGGGCAGGGCAGGCGGGACGGCGACGGGATGGCGGGCGGACAGAGAGGGAACGCTGCGTCGCCAGCGGGGCTGCGAAGCCAACCGCACTTCGCGCGCCGCGGTCTGGGCCGGAGGGCTACCTTTTTGCTACGGGGCCGCGCGCAATTGGGCGGCCGAGGAAAGGAGGCATCGAGGGACGGAGAAGAGAAAGGGCGGGCGCTGGGTGCCTTGAGACGGATGTCAATGCAAACTGGGGTCAGTCAGAGCGCTGGATCCTGTATGAGCCTGCAGACAGGGTTGCGTTGACCCGGCTTTGGATTGACCCAGGTCAGTAGATCCCCGAGGGCGCTGGACAGATGGCGGACGAGGGGGGAATGAGGGAAGTGCGAGCTTGAATAAGGGGGAGGTCGGGGGAGGAGTGTCGACAGGGGGCTGGAGGAAGGGCAACGTGGGGGAGAGAGCGGAGTGGGAGGAGGACGAGGAGCAGCAGGAGGACGACGGCAAGGCAAGGCCGAAGCCGAGGACTACGCTTCTCGCCCATACCCTTCCGGTCTGGGGGTGTGACAAAGATTTCTAGCGTTGTGCGCCAGGCCCAGCAGCCAGGGCAATAGCAGCCTGCTGCTTTCACTTCTCTTTTGAGGCAGGAAACAAGGAGACATGCGGACGGGACTCCAAGGAATTGGTCGGCCCTCTGTGCTGGCCGCTTTGGCTCGCGGTGGGATCCAAACGGTGAGCTATCATGTGTTTACTGTAGAGGCATCCAGCCCTTGCCGCCGATACAGGACGCTCCGAGACGCTCCGTGCGACGTCGTCCTGAGGGAGGGATGAGGGTGGAGGAGGAGGAGGAGGAGGAGGCAGGAGGGAGGATGAGGCAGGAGGGGGGATGATGGGGGGAGGGATGATGATGGGGCAGGCAGAAGGAGGCAGGAGGGAGGACGAGGAGGGGAGGAGGAGCAGAGGGACAAGGAGGAGGAGGAGGAGGAGGAGGAGGAGGGTGCTGGCCGTCGCCACAGGAATTATCAGTTGAATGGCATGTTTGCGCCGTGTCCCTCTGTCGACCTTGTTGGCGGGCCAGGTCCATGACGGCTTGGCTCCCCAGCCCCGTCTCGGGGCCCCGGCCCCGGCCCCGGCCCCGGGCCCTGGCCCGGGCCCCCGCCTTCAGCCACGGCCCCAGACCCCGCCCCAGCCTGGGCCCTGGCTCCGGTCCCGGTCCCGCTCCAGCGCTGGCCCCAGCCTCCATCCCCGGGCCCTGGCCCCGGCCCGGGCCCCGAGAGCGAAGCGGGGGCACGGCCCCCCGAAGCCAGGCCCTGGCCGCAGCCCTCCCCCGCCACTGGGACACGCCCCTTCCCCCCCCACCTTCCCCCGCATCCAGAGAGCGAAACCATGACACCGCCCCCCCCCTCCCTCCCAGGGCCCCCCCCACCAGGGACTCGGCACCCCGTCCTCCTCAGGGCTCCCCCCTTCGAAAACGGGACGCGGCCAACCCCCACCTCCCCTTCAGCCCCCGTGCGAAAATGGAACGCCGCCCCCCTTCCCCTGCCAGGGCCCCCTCCCTCCCGCGTGGAAACGGGAAGCGCCCCCCCCCCCCCGCTTCAGAGCGAAATTAATTGGGGACCCCCCTCCCGAAAGCGGGACACGGCCTCTCCCTCTTCCCCGTCAGGGCTCCTCCCTCCCGAAACGGGAAACCAATGCCCCCTCCCCCCCCCCCCTTCCCCTTCCAGGCCCCCCCCCCTCCCCCGAAAACGAGACGCCCCCCTTCCTCCCCCCTTCCCGAGTGAAACCAAGCCCCCTCCCCTCCCTGAAACGAAACACGCTTTCGCCCCTCCTTCCAGAGCGATGCTTCAGCGACCTCAAGCCTACGTTTTTTTAAACTCACACGTCGGATAGGCGAACTTGTGGTTTCCTGGCGCCACGTGGGAGTCGGGCCAGGAGTCTTCCTTCAGCGCCTCTTTGGGCTTTGTGGGGTCTTCTGAGGCCATCTTGAGGCCTTCGAGGGCCCTCTGGGGCCTCAGCAGGCCAGTATCAGGGCCTTTGACCTTGTCCCAGGGTCATCTAATAGCTCCCTTGGGGCAGGTGTGGTCCGGTCGCCCCTAGAAATGCTCAGAAACATTACCGGATGATTAGCAGGCATTGCATGCCTCAACGTGTTGAGACATGTAATTTCACACACGTGCACTCATATACATATTTCTATGCATAGTATATAGAAACATGAGTTTGCATAGGGGGACATACATATGGATGTGTGATCATGTATGTACATCTATTTACATGCACTATGGGTTTATGCATGCTTCTAGACATTCATATTTGTAATATCTGTGTACATGCATGCCCATACACGTATTTACATGTATGTGCGCACCTTCTTATGGTGAGACGAGGATGATCAAGAGAAGGGCGAGTAGGAGACGGACGAGGATGATGATGATGAGGACGAGGAGGATGCTGCTGCTGCTGATGATGACGATGATGATGAGGAGGAGGAGGAGGCTAACCAGGGTTATTGCTGCATTCTGGAACGTGGCAGGACACGAAGAGATGGAGGTCGTGTTCAAGCCGAGTAACGACTACACGGTGCGTGGGTTCGAGGCATGAGTAGGCGGAGAGCGAGATGATTGGAGAGGGTGACACGTGATCGTACTGGTCGCAGGTCTGGGTGTCATCAATCCGGAGGGAGAAAGATGTGGCCGAATTTCAGGGGACGACAACTATACACATTGTGTGTGTGTGTGTGTGTTTGTGTTTGTGTTTGTGTGTGTGTGTGTGTGTGTGCGTGTGCGTGTGCGTGTGCGTGGGCGTGTGCGTGTGCGTGTGCGTGTGCGTGTGCGTGTGCGTTTGCGTGGGCGTGTGCGTGTGCGTGTGCGTGGGCGTGTGCGTGTGCGTGTGCGTGTGCGTGTGTGCGTGTGCGTGTGTGCGTGGGCGTGTGGGCGTGGGCGTGTGCGTGTGCGTGTGCGTGTGCGCGTGCGCGTGCGTGTGCGTGTGCGTGTGTGCGTGTGTGCGTGCGTGTGTGCGTGTGCGTGGTGCGTGTGTGCGTGTGTGCGGTGTGCGTGTGCGTGTGCGTGTGCGTGTGCGTGTGAGTGTGCGTGTGCGTGTGCGTGTGCGTGTGCGTGTGCGTGTGCGTGTGCGTGTGCGTGTGCGTGTGCGTGCGTGCGTGTGCGTGTGCGTGTGTGTGTGCGTGTGTGTGTGTGTGTGTGTGTGTATGTGTGTGTGTGTGTGTGCGTGTGCGTGTGCGCGTGTGTGCGTGTGTGCGTGTGTGCGTGTGTGCGCGTGTGCGTGTGCGCGTGTGTGCGTGTGCGCGTGTGTGCGTGTGTGCGTGTGTGTGTGCCCGTGGCCAAGAGGAAGGCTCTCTAGCTTTTGCCGACGCGCCGGCGGTCGCGTGGCGCGACTGATGCCCAAGACTGGGTCGCGCTTAGGCGAATCGCTACGAAGCTTCCAAAAACTTCGATCCTCGAAACGCGGTCCTTTTAAGCTGCAGCCGATGGCCGACGATGACGGCCGACGGCGACGACATCCACCTTCCGAGGGGAGGTGGATGGCAAGATCAAGATCACCACGGAGGGCACCGGCTTGAGTGCGCCCGGGGGGTCGGGCTCCTCCTGCGGCCATGCCGCTGCTGAGGCCGCTTGTCGTGGTGCCGGTTGTCGTCGTCGTCGGCCCCCAGATCTGGGCGTCTGTAACAAATTCGTGACGGCTGGGCTTTTGCAGCAAATTCAGCCTCTGGAGGCCGTTGCCTGGACCCGGTGACGTCAACACAACGACCCAGGATGGAAAACTCCAGCCCCGGGGAGAGGGTCGAGATCCTCGAGGACCCGTGCCACCAGAAATTTGCGACGTCGGAAGATAGGGGCCTGCGCACTCGATGCTCCTCCCCCGTTCGAGGGGCCACAACTTGGCGCAAACGTTACGTTTCGTACAGTCGGGGTTCATTGGAGAGGGCACGCGAGAGGACACAAGACCCTTCCAAGGGCCGCATTGCCATAGGAATGTAAGAAGGCATGAGTCGCGAAGCACAGGACACAAGGGTACCCTTGATTTGGTAGAGCCTCGATTTACTGATCAGCCTCGACTGCAGTCCCCCACGGACTTCTGGGGCTGGCGTTCCCCCCCCTCACGTCCGCGGGGGGCACCGCGGGCGGCACCGCAGGCGCCGTACGGGGGGTTGGGGACTGGGGCTGGTGCCGACCCAGGAGACCCGCGCGGACCTGTGAAAGTTTACGCTCTGGCGGCGTGCGCAAGCGAGGGCGCAAGAGGGGGCGTCCTCACGAGCAGGCGGGTGTGCTTCTGAGAAGGCGGGGGTGGGGCTTCTCAGAAGCCCTCGCCGACCCCGGAGGAGCCTTCTGGGAAGCCTCCTGATCCTCCCAAGAAGGCCCCTGATCCTTCGAAGGCCCCCGATCCTTCTCGGAAGCCTCCTGACCCTTCGAAGGTCCCTAATCCCTCTGAGGGGGCCCCTGTCTTCCAAGGCACCTCCTGCGCTTTCTCAGAAGGCCGCCCCCCCTCGCGCGCTGCCCCCTGGCGCGCGCCGACCCAGAGGGCGATGCGGTGTCTCGCTCCTCGGGGTGCTGCCGCTCCTCGGCCTCCTCCCCCGCCTCTCTCTCACAGCGCCAGCTCCCCCTCGCCCTCCCGTGCCCCGCGCCGCGCACCCGAGGCTCGCACGCCCAGTGGGGACGCCCCCCCCTCTTGGGCGCACCGTTGATGGCGGGGGGCCTCCAGTGGAGAGCGTGTTGCTTACTATTTTCGGATGTGGTTCGTACCGTCATCGCCAACATTTTGTTATCAGTATTGCTCGGAATATTCGTTAGCTTACGCCACACCGCCGACCCCTTGGGGCGGCAGCAATCGTCCCCCGCGTGGCCTGTCCGGACAGCCTGTGAGGCCCTTTAGACACGTTTTGGAGCCCTCTTAGGACCGTCCTGCCGTTCCCCCGGGCCGTTGCTACGGTTTCTGGGGCCTTCGTGGGGCGCCCGGAGGCCGTCGTGGAGCCTTTTGGAGAGTCTCTGGGGGTGCCAGAGGTCGATCTTGGAGGTTTACTGGGCGGTTGTGGGCCTCGTGAAAACCCAAGCAGCGAATGTGGTGAACATGTACGTTTTACTTGGGTAATGGGGCGGTTTTTGCTTCTGGAGGCCTGCTTGGAGCGCCTCGTGATTGCGTATGCAAACATCTTGGACGCCCATGGGGCTGTCTGGAGGCAATCTTGGGCGGTTTGGACCGAATCGTCCCCCGCGTGGGCCGTCCAGACAGCCTTTGGGAGCCCTCTTGGCCCGTTTTGGAGCCTTCTTGGGACCGTCCTGCGGCTTTCCTAAGCCGTTGCTATGGTTTCTGGAGCCGTCGTGGATCGCCCAGAAGCCATCTTGGAGCCTTCCTGGGAGCCTCTTCGGGTAACAGGGGTCGATCTTGGAGGTTCTTTGGGCCGTTGTGGGCCTCGTGACAGCCCAAGAAGCAAATGTGCTGAAAATGTACGTTTTACCTTTGGAATGGGACGGTTTTTGCTTCTGGAGGCCTTCTTGGAGCGCCTCGTGGTCGCGTTTTCAAACGTCTTGGACACCCATGGGGCCGTCTGGCGGCGATCTTGGGCGGTTTGGACCGAATCGTCCCCCGCGCGGGCCGTCCGGACAGCCTTTGGGGGCCCTCTTGCTCCGTTTTGGAGCCTTCTTGGGACGGTCCTGCGGCTTTCCTAAGCTGTTGCTATGGTTTCTGGGGCCTTCGTGGATCGCCTGGACGCCGTCTTGGAGCCTTTTTGGGAGCCTCTTGGGCTGGCGAGGGTCGATCTTGGAGGCTTCTTGTGCCGTTTTGCGCCGCGTGGAAGCCGACTGGGCGAATGTGGTGACCATGTACGTTTTCCCTAGGGAATGGGACGATTTTTGCTTCTGGAGGGCCTCTTTGGGGCGCCTCGTAATATTTTTTCAAACATCTTGGGGACTTATGGAACCGTGTGGAGGCAATCTTCGGCGTTTTGGGGCGATCTTTCGTCCATTCGTAGCTCTCTTGGACCGTTTTGGGAACCTTTGGAACCTTTTTGGCCCGTTTTGCTCGGAATATTTTCAATGTGTGTAGTATTTGGTATCAGTCATGATAATGACAATATGAATCATACTAATAATGATGATGTCGACATTCGTATCATTATTATTCTGATGATGACTGTGATTGTACGGACTGCTATTGTCATTACGGTTGTTCTGATATTATTTCTAGTGGTTTTATGATTATTATTTCAAATATTAGTATCGCTGTATCTATCAATACTATTTTCAGCATTTTAATGATCATTCACATTGTTAATGTTTTGGGTTCTGAGTGCTATCATTATTACGATCATTGTAGTTTGTCTTCTACAAGTTATTAGGGTATACGTCATTCTTATGAGTATGTTTGTTGTTGCTGCTGTTGTTGTGTTATCATTGTTCGTATTCGTATTTACTGTTGTTCTTGTTGTTGCTATGGTTGTTGCCATTCGTAGTATGTGTGTTGCCATACGTATTGTTGTTGCCCTAATATTAGTAGTACCATTATGATTACAATCATCATCATCATCATCATCATCATCATCATCATCATCATCATCATCATCATCACCATCACCATCACCATCACCATCACCATCACCATCACCATCACCATCACCATCACCATCACCCACAAATTTCAGCTGCGCCAGAAGCCTCCCGCACCCGAGGGTGCCCGCACCCACTTGACAAGGGGTGCGGCACCCCCCGCGCCGTCCAGCCTGGCGGTGCCAGTCTGAGCCGACGCGCGGGGCGCCAGGGATGCAAGTACCCCCAGGAGCGGGAGGGTGGGGCGAAAGCGCGCGCGCCGTCCGCCACGGCGGGACGCAAGCGCACATGCCTGCGAGATGCAAGCACCAATGCCTGCACATCGCACGACCCCGAGGCGCGCCGCGAACCGCCCCGACGCGATCCCCGCGGCGCGCCTGCACGGGGCGTTCGACGCAAAGCGAGCAGAAGAGCAGACTAGCCACGCGCGTGACGACGCACCCCCCTCGCGCGCGGGCCCTTCGCGCGGGGCCGCGCGCCGCGAGGCGCGTGCCGTCGCTCCCCCCCCCCCCCTCGCGCGCGCAGGCCCTTCGCGTGGGGCCGCGCGCCGCGAGGCACATGCTGACGCCCCCCCGCCTCGCGCGCGCGGGCCCTTCTCGTGGGGCCGCGCGCCGCGCGGCGCAGGAAAGCGGGAGGCGGCCCGCGCGCCCAGCTTGCCCGCCCGCGCGCGGGCCAGGCGCGGGCGCGAAATTTGTGCCCGCGCACAACGCAGCACAAGCGAGCGCGCGCGCTTTCGATGGCGTTGGGCGCCCACCACAAATTTCAGCTGCGCCAGAAGCCTCCCGCACCCGAGGGTGCCCGCACCCACTTGACAAGGGGTGCGGCACCCCCCGCGCCGTCCAGCCTGGCGGTGCCAGTCTGAGCCGACGCGCGGGGCGCCAGGGATGCAAGTACCCCCAGCCGATGCATGCTGGTGCACCGCGCAGCGGCGACGCGCGCGGCACGCGCACCCCTTGCGAAACGGGTGTTGCGTGCGGCGGCGCCGCGGTGTTGTGACACGCAGCGGCGGAGGCGTGCGCGCGAGGGCGTCGCGCGACGCCTGGGTCGCCATTGCCTAGGCAAGTTCGTCCTCGGACTCAGCTAGATGCGCCTCGACCACGGCGCCGAGTTCGAGTTGCGTCAAATCGAGGTACGACAGGAACGCGGGCGAGGACCATTCGCCCGCTTGAAGGATCTCGCGCAAGGTGCCTCCCCTCTGCTGGAGGTCCAGTGCGTGCCCGCGCCGCAGGTCGTGCGTGCGATAGAGCGCCGCGTCTTTGACGCCGAGCTGACCGAGGAGAAAGCGCAGCGTGCTCAGCGAGCTGGCCGCGCTAATGTCCGCGAACGGCCTGGTGCCCACGGGCAGGTCCGCGAACCATGCGCCGAGCGCGTGGACCGGGCACGTCTTGGTGCAGCGCGCGCACCAGCACGCTCGCTGCAGCACGGACCCGAATTGCTTGTTCTTGCGGCGCGCCAATTTGAGCTGCAGGAGGCCGTCGCACAGAATGAGGGAAGCCCCTGCGCCCTGACGAAAGGCGACGCCGTCGAACGAAATGCCCAGGGCCTCCGAGGGAAGGCGCAAGAGAAACACGTACGTGACAAGAAAGAGCTGCGCGAAAACGGCGGACTCGTGCCGCTCTTTTGCCAGATTTAGCAGCGCGCAAACTGCGTCCTCCCTGATGAATAGGGGCGCCCTGGGCAGGAAAGCGCCGCGCTTGCGAATCGCGCATTTGGCGCGGCGAAGGGGCGTGTCACGAAAAACGTCTACAGGGAGATCGCAAACCTGACAAGCCAGCTTGACGTGAGAGACATAATTGGAAAAGGTCTGGTCGGAGCGAAACAGCAGCGACCACGCGAGCAACCCGTCGGCAGACGGCGGCAGCTCGCGCCCGTGCAGCGCAAGAGCCTCGCGCGCGAACGCGATCCATGCTGCCACGCCGCTCTTGAAAGAGGCGATGGAGCGCGGGCATGCGCCCAGGAGGGCCGCTGCGCGCGCCGAAGACAGCCACTCAGCGACGCTCACTGGGCCTTCCTCGCTGTC